CCAGACAGACAGAGAGAGACAGAGAGACAGAAAGCGAGAAATCACCCCCCAGGGGGGATGGCCACGCCACAATCCCTTCTCCTCCATTCTCCTCTTGGGATCTTGGGCACACATGCACACGCGCCTGGCGTGAGTTTAAGCCACAGAGTCTGGGACTCGAACCGCGGTCAACGACATGTGAGTCCAGCGACATAGCCATTATGCTAACTGCTGGTCCCTCCCTTTCTCTTTATAGAAATGGTTTATACCATCTGTAAGCTTTCTCTTTTCCTCCCATTTAAAAAATTTCACCCCCCAATTTCTGAAGAAAATTTGCCAGAGGGTGCAAGCATTCGCCAGAGAAAGACAAACAGAAGAGAGAGAGAGAGAAAGAAAGAAAGAAAGAAAGAAAGAAGGAAGGAAGAAAGAAAGAAAGAAAGAGAAAGAAAGAAAGAAAGAAAGAAAGAAAGAAAGAAAGAAAGAAAGAAAGAAAGAAAGAGAGAGCACCACCCCCCCTCCATGGGGCATGGTCATACTTGCAATCCCTTCTCTTCAATTTCTCCTTCCTTTTTGCATTTTAGGCACTCAAGCGTACATGCTTGCGTGTTTATCAGGCTGCTGGTTCCGAGACTCAACTGTGCGGTTGGTCATGTGGGATCCACCACACCACGAGTTAGCCCTTTCAATTTTAGAAGGATGCTCTGCTGAATCCCATTTGTCTGCCTTCCAAAGGATAAGTCTTTAAAGAAAAATTTCTTCTACCACAAAGCTGGAGGCAATGTGCCAGTGGGTTGTCTCACGGAGAGTGAGGGGGAAAAGTGTGAGCATAAGAGTGTGTGTGTGTGTGTGTGTGTGTGTGTGTGTGTGTCTGTGTGGAGGAGATCTATTGGTACAAAGGGATAAATACTAAGCCCTAAAATTAGTAGGCAATTTTGTTTGAATCTTTACAATCAACCTAATTTTAAATAAAATAGCACATGAAATTGCTATCATTCATAAAATCTACAGCAATAATAAAAACTTGGCATAACTATGTCATATCAACTAAGCAAATGTGATTAACAAAAAATTAGAATTAAATAAACATAAGAGTTAAATATTTATATGGCATTTCCATAATGAAAAGTGCAAATTCATTCTCACATCTTTTCCAGATTATTAAGCAATGAATATTGTGTTTACCAACAATTCATTTACACAATGACCATGTTTTCTGAACTGAAGCTTGGGGCACTGTATTCTAATAAATATGAGCATATTTGTTGGGACAACGGGAAATAACACTCGAAATCAAGGCCGTATTAAAGGATCTGGTGGTGCCCACTCTTCCCTTTCCACACTATCCAAAAGATATGGAATTGAAAGATTCCACAAATAGGCTTGCTTTACGATTCTAGGTTAGAACCTACAACTCCCCTGTTGTATGCAAAGAAGGGGAATTGTCTGCACTTGCTCATCTTTGGAGCCCATGCCTGGTGGAAGGAGCACCCTACTCACCCCTTTAACTAGGGGTGAGGGAGGATCAAGGAGCCTGTTACTTTTTCTTTCTTTTTTTTTTTTTTTTAATTTTAGTTTTTAAATTTTAAATTAATGAAATAATTTACATTCATTTACTGAACATCGTCATAGCATACAAAATGTGATTTTTCCACCCAAATATACTGCATGGTGGCTTAATAATACATGTTATCATCAATAATTTTCCATTTCTAGTTTCATATATGTATATATATTTCTCACCCTCTGCCATTTCCCACCCTCCTCCCACACTATCTCAGGTGTCTACAGTCGTTTTTCATTCCTTTTTCTCCCTATATTTTATTGACTCACAAAATTTCCTAAATAATCTAACTACTTTCAATAGCAAGGTCAGCTGGTATATACATATCTGTGAACACATGTCTGACTTTGGGCGTGCAACTGAGTAGAGTGAATATACTGTAAGGTAGCACCTAGCTGATGCTATATAGCTTACTACAGTCGTCAAATAGGTATTTAAATTTTTTTTTTTAATTTAGAGAAAAGCAGTTTTAGCTTTAATAAATCAAAGAAATGCCAAGGAACTTTGCTTAAAACTTAAAGCCAGGAAACAGGTTAGGATTCTGTCCAAATAGTAGGTACATGAACCTATCAGAGGCTCAAGACAAGACAAAAATCCTTAAACTCGGAAAACAAAACCTAGAAGAAAATCAGCAATGTTTTAGTCAAAAGTCATAAAATTCTGTTTCACCAGTTTAGTCTCGTACTTAATCTATCTTCTGTTGTGGTTTGATCTTCCTGATAAAATGCTGGGATATAATATTCAACTCCAGACTTGTCCCTATCATTAAGTTGGTCATTTTCTTAGCTTTTGAACTCTTATTTCCGTGTGTCTGTATTTAATGTTCCTGGTACAGCACTTCCCTGAGAACTTCTTGGAGAGCTGGTCTGGTGTTGGTAAATTCTTTCAAGTTTTGTTTGTCTAAGACTGTTCTTGTCTTTTCTTCCCATATGAAGGATAATCTTGCCAGGTACAGTATTCTTGGTTGAAATAGCTTTTCCCTTAACACTTTGAATATATTTTCCCATTCTTTCCTCACTTGCATTGTTTCTGATGAGAGGTCTGCTGTCAGTCTGATGTGATATCCTTTGTGGATAACTTGACATTTCTCTCTTGCCAATCTTAGTGTCTTGTCTTTGTCTGTGGGTTTTGGTCAATCTGGCTATAATGCGTCTTGGAGAAGATCTTCTTGAGTTGATTCTGTTTGGGGTCTTTTGTATTTCTTGGAACTGGATCTTTGAATGCCTCTCTAGGTTTGGAAAGTTTTCTTCCAGGATTTCATGGAATAGATGATCAATGCCTTTATGAGTCTTTTCACCTTCTGGGATGGCAATTATTTGGATGTTTGGACGTTTGATATCTAGTATTTCTTGTATATTATTCTCATTTCTTTGGACAGTTTTCTCAGTCTTCATGGTGAATTTTTCTAGGCCAGTGATTCTATCTTCTATATTTGAGATTAACTTGTCTGTATAACCTAGTCTGCTTTTAATACTTTCAAGGGAGACATTGACTTCCTGTATTATAGCCTTCATCTCTAATATGTCAATTTGATTCTTTTTTATAGTGTGTATTTCCTCTTTTAGATCTTGCAAGAATTTCCTCACCTCATGGAACTCGTCAGCTCCTTTCTCCTGTCTCTTCGGCAGTTCGTCATTCTCTTCTATCTCTGTTAGCTTTGTCACTATGAATATTCTAAATTCTTTATTTGACATTTCCATGAGTTTCATTGTACTATCTGTGGATGAAGAGGAGTTATTCTTTTCCCTTGGAGGAGGGGATTTTCTTGCTTTCCCATATTTCTTGTGACCCTGTGGTGATTTCTGGTCATGGGATCGATGGTGTATTTCTTCCTAATTCTTGAAGTTCAATCCGAGCATTCAGAGGTGTGCAGGAGGAGGAGAGCTGCAATCTCTCTTCCATTCCATTTTCACTCTTTGTGCATC